ATCTCTCCTTGAAAGAAAGCATGGCACTTCTTCTGAAAAAACTTGAATACCCTTTACCCAAGGATGCTTCGTGGCAAGTTTGGTTGAAATTGGTCCAGTGGTTCTGGAGAATAAGTCGAAAATGTGAAAAGTTTACAGACACCAGACGACAAACACTGGGTCGCCCGCATGGCCTAGTGGTTAGAGTGCTTGCTCCAGAGTCACAGTATAAGGGTCACGGGTTCAAATCCACTGCGGGATGTGGAGACCAGTCCTTCGGACGAGACCATATAAACCGAGGTCCCGTGTCACAGTAAGTGTTGGCACGAAAAAGATCCCTCCATGCTCAATGGCCCTGAGTGCCTAGTATAGGTATAAATTTGCAGCCCTCCATCAGCAAGTGGTGGCTTCTCAATATGAGTGAGAAATTCTCAAGAGGGATGTTAAACAACAAACAAACACCAAACACTCTTAATTAGATCAGAAAAGCTCACTTGATCCTTCAGCTCAGGTGAGCTACAAAGGAGTGAAGACCCACTCATATGAAAAAATTGTGTTAGAGTATGAAGAAATGATCAGCATTTTTGCCCTCTATGGTATGTATTTGCTACTCCTAGACAAATAATTACAATCTTTGTGAGATTTTCTGTAAATTTTGGAGATTTTACATATAGTATATGTTAATGTTTGATGAAATATCAAGGAGAATTTTGTTATAATTGAGATTTAATTTTTCACCTTCGTATTTGTCACACCATCGTCATTTTGCTCGCTCATCTTCTTAAATTGCATTTTATGTTTTATGAATGCTGAACTCTGCTACACCTAGCCTATTAAAACATCTAAATATTTATTAGCATGTATTTTAGAGTGAAAACTTTAAAATTGCAACCATCTTTTATCTTAGTAAGACAGACATTCTGCACTGTGGTTGTTGATCGAAATACGAAAAAAAAAATTAATTAAAATATTTCATACAATAGCAAATTGATTTTAATAATTTTATACCAAATTCATTTTGAAAACAAGATCTGGGGAAAGGTCATCTAGAAGTTTGAGGGTGTTCATCCCTTGATGCATCATCCATGCAAGTTAGGTTCAGATAGGCCTTATAGTTTCTTGGTAATGGACCTGCTAAATAAACTTTAACCTAATTACTCATCTGGAAAATGTAGGTCAAATTCAGCCTCTGAAGCAACTCTGGTAGTGTGCATCAATAAATGTATCTTCAGTGCAAAGTTGGTTAGCATAGGGCTTAAAGTCACTTTAGAAAGAAACTGCTCCAAAAACTTTAACCTAGTCGCTCATCTGGTAGTGTGCATCAATAAATGTATCATCCATGCAAGTTTTGTCAATATAGGTCTTAAAATTAGTGTTACTTGGAAATGAGACCTGCTTTAAAAACTTCAGCCTGCTCCAAAAACATTAACCTTGTCATTCTTCAGCTGAAATTGCAGTATCTGAAACTTGACTGGTACAATGAAATATACTTCAAGCATCTTCCCTACACTCTGATCAATATACGGCATAGAGGTACTTGAAAAGAAATCTGCTCCTAAAACTTTAACCTGGGATGCCTACGCCATAATAATACATAAGCCTCAGAACTGAGAGAACTAGAGAAGTGTTACTGGCTGACTTGATATTAGGCTTACATATTACTTGGGAGAATGGCTTTTGTAGAATACCTGGTTTACTGATCTCAAGACCTTTGAACTTTGACCTACTTTCCAAAATACACCAGTGCTGATATAAACTTTGATCCTTTATTGGGCTCCCAGTCTATCCTCGGGGGTCATGATTTGAGCAAACTTTAATCTGCATTATATAAGGATACTTGCAAACAAGATTTAAGGTTATCTTCCTAACAAACACTTGCTAGGAAGGTTAAGGTTATAGGTTATCTTCCTAGCAAATACTTGTCCATATAAAAGAGATCTAAAATTATCCTTTACCTCATTACTTTATATCCTATCTTCACATTAGATGAACGATCCCTTATTGTAGCCCTACAATCCCCATGGGCCATAATTTAAAAAGAATTGAATCTGCATTGTCTGAGAATGCTCTCATATTGTTACCACTTATCATGGCCCTGCTTTTCAGTTTGAGAGAAGATTTTTCTGACATATTCCTGAATAAAGCTTTTATTCTTCAAGAATATTGCCACTCCAACTCTACCCTGGAGATATATTCAAACTGCCCTACTTGAGGATGCTTGCATATTATTTAATATCACTTATAGTCCTGATGTTAATAATGTCTCGGTTTAAAAGATGTGTGAAAGTTGGTCAATATATGGGGTCTCACTTGCTCAGTGGTTAGAGCCATGGTACATGTATGCCAAAGACCCTGGGTTGAGTCCCTCTTGAAACTTGATTTTTCACCACCTGTTACATTTGGCACCCAATATGATAAGAATATTTAAAAAAAAAAATCCTGAATTTTCCTGTATATTCCTCTATGAGATCTTTCATATGCACCTACCATCCTGGGCATGATCTGAACAGAGTTGAATCCATACTACTGGTAGTGGTACCTGATGATGTTTGCAAATCAGTATGACTAACTGTGGCTCTGCTATTTCTTGATATATTTTTTTCTTAAATATGTAACAGGAAAGGAGAAAAATCTGACAGACCAGACAGGGATTCAAACCCGGGCCCCCTGAATCTCCAGTCAGAAGTTTTACCAACTGAGCTATCGAACCCACCTGACCTCCACAAATATTTCTACTATTAAATTAAAATAAAAATATTCTTTTGGATGTTTTCAACAGTTTAAATTTTTTCAAGGTAAGGGGCTGACATAGGGCTGGTGATTCATAACCAGTTTCTTTTGTGCTAAGCAGATGAAGATCATAGAGTTAGAGACTCCCTATGGAAGGGACATAGATCATCAGAGGTCTATTACTTCCAACTTTCAGTATACCGGTACTCATTTTCAGCTGGGTGAACTGAGACAAATAAGACATAAGAAGCTTTAATTAATTAAGGTGTTCAATTCCTAATTGGACAAAATTCTCTATTTTTAAATATCAATCTGATATAAAATACTCTTGCATTCATCTAAAGTAGGGATTGATATGAGGAGAGAATTTTCAAAAATGTTACTACCTCATAAAGATAATCTCATTTTAATCAATATACCCCTGTAATCTTAAATACAGGTACTAAGAATACAAACAAATGTTGTAGTGAAAAAAAAGTAATTTAATTATTAAATTAGGAATAACACTACAGTTAAACTACTGGATAATGACTCCCATCATCAGTTTGATTAAGTGCATCAGATTTAACAATTTATGGGAGAAGAGACTGCATCGAACCATTTAATTATTAACATTTTACATTTTCAGGGAAAATTTATTTATTGTATCTGTATTCTTTTTGTGCCCTTTCTTTTACTTTTTTTCCCTGCTTTTGATTTCTACTTTTAAGACATTGGTTGTAATAAATTATCATCTTAAGCACCATGTTTCTAACAGAAATTTTACAATCAAAATGTCGCTTTGTTAAATTAAGCTGTTTTAAATAAACAATATTGGTCTGGATATCAAATGTTCATCAAATCCATTATTCATAGTATGTAGTCTTGACATATAACTTCAGAATGAAAAGGAGGTCATCCATGAATCACAATAAAATGATGTAATCTATTTTGCTTTAAGTGTAGCATAAAATAGCTACAAAGCGCTCGAGTTGTCTGAGAAGGTGGAAAATTGTCCAAACAGTGGCCAAGTTCTTTGAATCAAAGGTGATTGTCAATGTGAATTGTTCTACAGGAGAGCTGTCTTAGGGGTGACTTGTCCAGCATTGTAATGCACGTACAAGCTGATTTTACAACATATTATCTGGTTATATATTTCCTTAGCTTATATATTCAGTGTGGACCCTGAGGTTCATAAACTTCAGACTGAAGTTTAATAATTGACTGTAAAGAAGGTTAAACTCCCCATCCCCACCCTAACAATAATTCACTGACATTGTATCTACTTATTTAGTTTAATGAATGTCTCCAATGCCTATATCATAACTGAACAAAGCCAGATATCTATAGACATGATGACCATACTTAGAAATGTAAAATGAATTCAGTCAAAACACATATTATCAACTTACATACATAACTTTGATGGATAATTAATATTATACTTGTACAAAGTGGTCATCTAATGATTCATCATCAGTTATCATACATGTAGATACTGAGTTGGGATATATTAATGAAAATTAGTCGAAGGGAATCCTTCTATAACCACAAAATATGATGAAAAACTGCTTTAAATTCATAATTAATTGCAGAGAATTTTAATTTAATAAAATCACCAGTAGTCCTAAATTATATAAAAAAAAGTCAGTGCTTTTTAGTGTTATAAACACAATAGAGGAAATTCGCGTCACAACTTTGTTTCGAATTAGCATTAGACTTGTGTGATCAAGATTTAAATTTATTCGTGCTTACAATGAACTTATCGCTAATAAAATAAGATAATTATTCTTATTTTATCTTTTAAAACACTGTCTTACTTACAATAAATCGACTTTACAAATCATAATACATGCCGATTCGTATGCGGTTGCCTATATTGCCTAATAAAAGTTGGATGCCGATCTCGACGATTCAAAATATAATTCCTCGTACGATTCTGTTGTTGCCTTTTTCAATAAGAGGTTATAAACTGTCTAAATATTTAATTTAATTAGTCAAATTGTCCAACTTCTCACGTAAGAGATGAAGATAAACGAAGCCCACATGCCGATCGCGATGTCAATTAAGAAATGACCATACAATTATTTTCAGGATTTTTGAAGTAAATATTGAATAAAACAGAATTGTTCAAGAGTGTTATAACTTTTTTTGCTTCAAAATGTTTCATTTTAAACACCAATAACATCTATATTACGTGGTTTTAACTATCTTTGGGTATAATTATACGAGTGGCGAATTGCAAGGCTACCGCTTGGGATTTCTATTTTTAGAGCGACTCTGAGCACTAGCGACAGTTTTCACTGGTACACCGCCATGACAACGGTCTAATCGGACACTGACCTCCATTTTTATTTTACGAATACATTCGACACAAAGCGGAAGTTAAGATTGACGATATTCTCGGCCTAGAACACAAATTTACAGTGACATTTTGTGTCTCTCGGTTCTTTCTCACGTCGTCTCTGCCCCGGCATCAATCCCAACAGGCAATGGGTCATCATTGAACACTGGGAAAACTTACCCGAAGATCCACTTTCTGGACCACCATGCAATGCACGCTCAAAAGGCCCGGATTGAGGATATGTTGATGCGTTGAAAACAAGGCTTTTGGGAAAACTTTTTCATATCACTTCATAAAAAATTCTCAATAAATGTATTTTCCATTATCATCATTTATAGTCAAAATACAGGAAGCAAATCAATTTGCAGTGGGGGGATTACGGCCCTGTAATCTGCATACCCGGACGAGATTATCGCGTGCGCGGGAAATTTAAAATCACCAGGCCAACGTAAAAAAAAGGTATCCAGTCAACTCGTACCTACATTTTGTACATACTCTATTGTACATACATTTGTATATAGTATAACACTGTTTATTACATTTTCAATAGTGAAATACTGTGATTTATTTATTGATAAAAGTGATATTCTCTCACAGTGTGAAAGGATACCAAAGTGATATTCTCTCACAGTGTGAAAGGATATCAAAGTAGGTAAAAAGATAATTTCTGGCCTGTCATAAGATAGAGATAGTAACTAAACCGTCTTGATAGAGACTAAAACTACCAAAGTTTCTCCAAATATGTTGTTAAAAATCCGTTTTACAATCTCGCAATCGCTTATAGCTATCATATGACGTCTCAACCGCTCAACTATGACGTCATAGCCTATGACACCCTGTTACGAAAAGACAGAGTCAAATGGAAAATCAAAGAAAATGTAATAAACAGAAAATTCAATGTTTTGTAGATGAATATATATGGAATTTATTTCACTCGTGAGACAGGATTTTTTGATATTTTCACTCGTGCTTCGCACTCGTGAAAATATCAAAAAATCCTGTCCCACTCGTGAAATAAATTCCATATTCATCTACAAAACATTGAATATCCTCTATATATGTAAGTAACAGTTCTGGGTACGAGTTGACTCCTTGGGTTCGACTCGGTTTGGGTACGAGTCGGTTTGGGTACGAGTTGACCGTAAATCAAAAAAAAAAAAAATCATTTGCCCTCTCCCGACCGACTTGCTGAAAATGGCCCAACTCAAAACTTTTTTAACCTCCAGGAAACGTTTTTTTTTTATTCCTGAATTTTCTCATCCCGTCAATATGTATGTTTTTTCTTGGGAAAAAAACTTCCCCACTTCTTGGGACCCATTTTTTTTTACCCCTAGTCGGGAGAGGGCAAACAAACATTAAATTTATCGTTTATTAGTCATGCCAGTTATATTTAAGATTATAAAAAATCGGGCGCCTTTCAAAAAAGTTTCTTGCAAGTCTTCAAATTTTTAAAATTCGTAACATTTAAAGTTTTGTAAATTTTATTTCAAGTGTTCATAAGCTGATAAGAAAGGAAAAGTGCAAATTTTGAACATGGAAGATTTCCATATTATATAAATAAATATATATATAAAAAATCAAGATTATATTATATTGGTATTGATTAGAAAATTTTATGACAATTCTCTTCAGTACAATGCATTAATTAATTCCAAATATATACATTTGTATATTTTAATTAAAGCACTAAGCATGGTCGAATATAGAGAATCATTGTTCTCTTGTAGGGTAAAGTGATCGTGAGTCGGACACCTCTCGTTTTCCTTTACGCATGCAGACCACATTCATCTGTATACTCTATGTTATTTGGTCTTGTCCGAAAGAGCTCGCAAAGATCTAGCATTCAGATGTGATGAACCACCAACATCGAAATTCGTTCGTAAGTCGGACACATTTGATATTGAGTGGGACTCTCATAAAAGTGGGGACTAATTAACTTTCTAGGCCCTATATATGCACATGCTGACGTTCACTTGTTCATTGAACATGCCTGGGCCTTACACGATCTCGTATTTTAAGAAGGGGGGTGCCAGAAAAAAATTAAGAAAAACTGGCGATCATGCATGCTTACTTAAAAGCTTAAAAGAATACATGTCAGAAGCTATAGGAGAGAGGACCCCCCCCTCCCTGCCCCTAACTCCTTTAATTGTGTAATTTCTGTACAATATTTAAAGTATCCCTACTTTGATTATAACGGGGATTATGGCAATAAACAATCTTTCTTTCACTGGGAAGAAAATAAATAATCTGACCTCGACTTGTTGTACTACCCCCATCCCATTAAAAGAGTTTCGGCAGTCCCACCTCCTCTCTCTCTCTCTCTCTCTCTATTTTTTTTTTTTTTTTTTTTTTTTGCTTGTCAAGAGAATTTGGCCGCATGAATTTGATATGGATACAGCAGGTATGTGTGAAAACTAAAATAATCATTGATCCTTCAAATTATATTTTAGCATTCTAATGACATCGAGTTTCTGTGATGTAGGAAAGAAAAAAATTTTTTTTTCTTGATATCGTGTTTTGATTTGCTAAAATATGACCAAATCAGTCAATCGGCGGTAAATTGGTATTTTTAGGTTATGATCTCGTACTTCATATATTTTTTCAACATCTGAAATAAGGTACAATAAAAGAGAGAGGGAAAGTGAGGGGGAGAGAAAGAGAGGGTCTCATAATCAATACATTTAGTTGTTTTAAAAACACAATCAAGTATGAATGTAACAAATTTTAAACTAATAAATACTCTACATTTCATTTTACGATTCAAAATCATTAAGACGCTAATAGTCACACTGTTTCTGCTGAATGGAATGTTCCATTTCGAGTCTTGGAGCAGATTGTCTCATAAGTAGACATAACATGTGTCAGTTACGTTTGTACTAATTCCTGCGTAAGTCTTTCTTTTATATGTGCGCTTTTGTTCCCTATCCGCAGCAAGACCTGCTTTTTTTTTGGGGTGGGGGTGGGGGTGAAGACGATCTGTTATCGAACAACTCTTGTTAGGACTGTTGATAGGTTGTTTGACCGAAATAAGTTATCTGAGAGCTGCTGGTTACTCTTCTGCACTCAAGGTCTGTGTAAATCGCCACATTCATCCACTGGGTTTTGTTGGATTCCCATTTACAGTAATGAAGCATCGGCATCTTTGGATCCCCTCCCCCCCTCCCCCCCATCCATCCCTGTCGAATGCAAATATTTCTAATAATCACGTTTTTAAATCCCCAAGAGATTTGAAATATTTCTTTTTAGCTACATTTTTAAAAATAAAAATCACATTTTAATTTGAAAGTATAGAATAAGCTTTATACAACTCCATCAAACGATCACGCCTACTGACCTTCCTGCCTTGAATTAATTTCGATAATGTAATCTTTTCGTATCTGTGATTATTTGTAAATATTTCGATTTCCACTGATCAATACACACAAAGAAAGCTCTCGAGATAAATGTATGTATGTACAGTGGAAATCGAAATTTTTTTCATATTTCAGTTTATTTTTTCAATCAGCAGGTTTAACAAAGGATACAAGCTAATAGTAGTATATTTTTAAAATAAAACGCTGTTAAAGGATGATATGTATAACAAAAAGCAACATGCACAGATTTCTTATCATATTATAAATATACATTCCTACATTTTCAAATTATGTGCTTACATGCACTATGTGTACAAAATGTTTAGGCTCATAGAAATATATTATCCACTTTTTACTGAATATCTGTTGGAACCCTAGGGTAGTATTTACATCTTCAAGAATTCTCTCTTGTCCTTTTCTGTGTTTCAGGCATTGTTCTATGGAATCACTGTCTAGTTTGTTGGATATGTCAGGGCGTTAAAGACATTTGGAAACATGGGATAATTTGCATAACGGGCGACGCTCGTTATGCAAAATTTATCCCACATTTCCAAAATTAATGTCGTTAATGTCCCTGACATACAAAAATAAACTAGACAATGATTCTTTATATTTACATTTATATGTGAAATAAAAATGTAAATACAAATAAAAATGCTGTCTAATGTATAAAATTGAAATGCACGAAGCATTTCCTGTTTACATGTATTTCCATAGTTCCCGCCTACTGAAGTGAACACAAGAACTTGATTTGAACATATTTTATTGCAATAAATATATACAATGGGATTAGGCACAAGTTCTAAAAAACTTAATTAGCACAAGGATATCCCGGAAAATTGACAATTTATTTTTGACACTTGACCTTTCACTTGGCGAAATTTACTTTTAGTAATAAATATCAATTAACAATATCAATTAACAATCATTACTTCCAATCATATGTTCACTCGATATATCCAAGTGAACTTGAAATAAAAGACACCTCAGAATCTGCCACATTTATTTCATATTTGGATGTTTAGTGACTATAGACGATAGTTGCCAACTAATAACTAAACTGTACGACAAACGGGATGACATCAGCTTTCCCATCGTCTACTTCCCGTAGTGTAGTAATATTCCAACATCACCTGCATATGGTGTTTATGTCTCCCAATTGATGCGTTACCTAAGAGCATGCCCTGAGTACGATAATTTTTAAACCGAGGCAAACTACTGACAAATAAGTTGATGTTACATGAATTTCAACAACCCCGTTTAAAGTCAGTATTTCGTAAATTCTACGGTCATTATAATGACCTTGTTTGCAAAAAAAAAAAAAAAAAAAAAAAAAAAAAAAAAAAAAAAAACTTTCATTGGATCGTATTTTGAATGACTTTTCATATCAATTGTTAGACCATTGTTTTCATACTAGATTTGACAAGGATTATATTCTGTCTACCAAATCAATACATAGGGATCACGGCTGATGTAACAGGTCGAAAGGGGAAGCATACTCCTTCCAGGCACCTGATCCCACCTCTGTGGAGTTCCAGGGGTCTGTGTTTTAGGCCCTGTTCACTAATTTGTACTGTTTTAGAGAATCTTGAGATCGATCACTGTTTGATATATCAATCTTTTTCATTATTTTATTTCTAAAAAATACGAGAAATCAAACAATTAATCATGAGTAACCGAATACCACAAATAAGGCTCTTTTCTACTCAGCTTACTTAAGCTCAGTGGGTAAAAGTGCTCACTTTGGCTCCTACTATGCTTGCTCACTCCGAGTTCAGTGAGATTGGCTCGCCTCTGCATGCTTACTCTGAGTATCTGTTCCCTTACAAAGCCCGTATCATTGAAGATAATCGAACTTTTCCAAGGTTTAACGATGAGTAGCTTTAAAAGAGTAAGGAAAGACTTATTTAGTAACATATGATACTCTGAGTTACTACATGTTTGTCATTTAAGTCTTCTTTATCTCTGCAAAATTCCTACTGAACTGTATGAGATTAATATGCCTTACTATACTTTTGTAGCAAACACACACGGGGGGATCTAGTAAATTTTTTTCATCAAACCTGTGTCTTTATGCCTCACGAAAATATTAACATCAGTGAAGGATTCAATGAAATATATGGAGATTACGAACAGTATTCAAGCTCAAAAGTCCGTTAAACAACACAAATCAGGAGCAGAGCAAACACGGACCTTTAAAACATCAGAGGCGGGATCAGGTGCCATGGAGGAGTGAGCATCCCCTGCCGACCGGTCACACCTGCAGTGTGCTCCTAGCTTGTCATGATCGGGAAATAACGGAGAAATCCGTGGACAATTCAGTGTGTAAATAATGGCCTAACAATTAGTATGAAAAACGTCAGTCAGTATTTGACTTAATGATAAATCGTATTTGCTGACAAGGTCATTGTATCGACCATAGAACGTACGAAATGATGACTTTTAACGAGACTGTTGATATTCTTGTTTCATCAACTTATTTGTCAATAACTTACCTCGTTTTAGAAATTGTTCATACGTAGAGCATGCTCTTGCGTATCGAATCAACTGAGAGATACAAACCCCTTATGCAGGTGATAAGGGTATATTGCTGCATAAGTAAGGGAAGATGACGATTGAAAAGTTAAAGTCATCACGTTTATCATAGAGCTTTGTTGTTAGATTGCCCTTGACGTCTTTTTCTAGTAAAATATCCAAATATGAAACATATGTGTCAGTTTCTGTGGTATCTTTTATTTCAAGCTCACCGGGATATATCGTGTCGACAAATGAATGGAAATAATCATTGTTAATTAACAATACGTCGTCGATATATATAAATGTCGAGTTGAAGGCAACAGCAAGTGTTTTCTTCTTTTCACGTATAAGATTTTGAACAAATTCTGCTTCACATGAATACAAAAATAGGTCAATTGATACCCATGGGAATTCCAATAGATTGTTGGAAGACCTGGTCTCCAAAAATCACATAGCGGTAGATATTGTCAATCAGAAACTCAAGCATCTTTTTAATATCAACTTCAGAATACTTGTGTGTACAGAATGTTTTTTAACAAAATAATTTTGCAAATGACCAATGACAAGGTTAGTAAATTTACGAGTTCCATTTTTATTGAAAAAGCAGCTGTCAATGATGTCAAAAAAGCCTGGACTTGAATTTATCGCGGGGAATGGTTGTATATAAAGTTGAAAAGTCGTAGGTTTTTATGTTGTTGATTTTGGTAAAATTTTGTGATTTCAAATTTTCCAGAAGTTCCTTGGAATTTTTCAGTACCCACGTCTGATTTACACCACTTCTCCAATATATTGTTGTACAGTACTTCTGTAGTTTCTCCTTCACTACTGTTAATATTTTAGTGAAAAAGAATAATAATCCTATGGGCGACGGAAAGAAAAAAAACGCTGGTAAAAAAATAATTTATTTTTTAAAAATTAGTATTATACGAAACAAGTTCTCTGATAAGTTCCCATGTGTAAGTCGGCTAATTCGGTTATATTTTGAATCCAGTTGATTTGATTGTTGCTTAATTTCTATTACTATTTTGAAGTACTTTTTGAATAGAATAAAAGAGGACGTAGAATCTGAAATTATTTACAGGTTAATCATATGCTCAGACTACATGTATATTAGTTCTTGTGCATGACCCATAATCCATGTAAAAAAACACAAGACATATTGCGTTTTATTTCTGTAATGACATGAAGTAAGTGTTGTGGCTACAAGAACTCTAGCATAACTATATGATAAATTTAAAAAAAAAAAGAAAAGGTATTACATAAAAAATAATTTTGAAACTAAGGTTTTCAGTCTCCTTCTTATGACCGAGGGTTACACTTTAATAAAATCAAATTAAAAATATTGGTATCATCAGATACAATATGATATTTAACTAAAATAGAACAAAATCCTTAATAAATACACATTTATTTGAAAAAAAAAAACCCTACACATTCATTTATAATTTCTGTAACATAATTTTATTTTTATTAAACTATAATTGATTTAGCAGTCACTTGGTCTATTCACAAAATATTTATGTTAATGTCAGTCACAGATCTTGTAAACTTTATTTTATTATCATTATTACATTCATACTTCAGTGAGGTATAGGAGTCTTAACACAAGAATAAAAAGACTTTCCTACATGCTGTTAAATCACTTATTTTCCTGGGGTCAGATTTTCGTGGTTTAAGGAAAACATATTAGTTCAGGGGGATTTGATACAACGAAAACAATGGAAATTAAACCACTAAGAAAATAAGTGATATCACTTTATTTACATTTGCAAATATTTTTCTTAGATGAACCTATTGAAGAGAAAATATGTTCAACTCTGTATGAACTTATTAGGGGGTCAGAGGTCATGAAGTGACCGAATCACACAGCGAGATGGTATCTTGTCTACATATTTCTGTCCCGGTGACACTGGTTTCGGAACTTCTAAGCCGTTAAAGCGATGAAAAAGATAAAATTATTGAAACATATATGTTTTTTCGTTCAACAAATGATCATTAAATTAGTTCTTTCTTCGGTGTGAAGAATGTTTTAAATTAGCCTAAAATCACTTGGTTGGTACGTGATCAAATCTTCTGAGAAGCCCTTCGAAAATTACACAATTGAAAATTAACGCGTTAAAAAGATCTCAAATTATAATTATTTATTTTCTACTAGGAAAGTAATGCCTCTATTTAAATTCATGCGTCATGTGACACCGTCGCTACTTTAAGATTGATAAACAAAAATGGCGTCAAGCAAACGAGGTAGGCCGTTTGGTATACAAATAACTTTTGACATTGATGGCACACATCTGAGGCTTAAAGATACTTATCTTTTAAAACAACCAGTATTAACCATCTACTCTGTAATGACAGATATTAACCTTTTATCCATAATTGTAGTCAAAATGCAACGTACCTCGTCGTCTATGATTTCCCGCGGACATGCGTGTCTATATACTGTTTACGCACTTCCTTCATCAATATTCATGAAAAGGCTGAATTCTTAATTGCAGATCTTACTTAATTGTTATGTAATTACAACGACTTTTTTAGTAAAACTTTGCGGAAAGTAATTATTTTTTAATTACAATTCATCTTTCTCAAATCATTCATTCAGTTTGTTTCACATAAAAATCGCGTTTATATAGCGTGTATATCTTTAAAACATCAAGGAGAATCAAATGTTGGCAGAATTTGGGATTTCCTCTGGCAGAAGAGAATCATACTTTCTAACCAACTTCTTGTTCCTATCACGAATCTTTGAACTGATGTTTTTCAAATCCTGTCTGAATCTGAAAAATAAAAGCGTTTTATATATGTATTTGACATCAAAATATTTCATCAGTTACTTGTTATTTAAAAAAAACCAATTCTATAAACTTTAGCACATTGGTTTGAACCAAGCTGTGAAATTAACTGCCACTCTGCCATTTATTCTAAGACGTGTGAAATTTTGTAGTTAATGTATTTTCATTATTTATCATTCTGGGAACAATTTATATTTCTGTAATGGACATGAAGTCATGTTCCACCTTGTCGAGAAACATAAGGAACACACAACTATGTGTTTTTTTCCTCGATTTAATCGTCTCTCTCTTTTGGAAACTTTAGAACAGTCTATGATCATTAGTCGTCTATCAGCGACTTTAGGTTGGGATCAGTTGCCATTGAGGAATAAGCATCCCCTGACGACCGTTTGTCCCTTGTCATGATCGGGTTACGGAAAAAATTGTAAACAATTCTGTGTGAAAATAATGACATAAAAATTTGTTTGAAAGACCTCAGTCAACATTTGACCTAAAGACAGATTGTGTTTGCAAACAAGGTCATTTTATCGAGCCATTGAATTTACGAAATGTTGACTTTAAACAAGATTGTTGATATTCTTGTTTCATCAACTTAATTGTCAATAGCCTGCCTCGTTTTAGATTATCGAATCAACAAATATTTGTTCATATCAGAATTGTGAGAAGCCCCTAAAGAAAATGTCTACCTTCAAGTCGTTTAGGTTTTGAATAATAATTAGAGTTTTTATGTAAATACTGTTTTTAAACAACTAAACGACTAAATAACAGATTTCTTACTCCTTTACGATCTCTACTGCTGGTGGGTCATATATATAGTCCACTTCAAAGTCTCCCAGAGCGTTGGTAGTCCGATCACTCACAACTGATCCAAGAACTAAGACCTCCAATGCCGTGGACTTGTCAACTATGGCCTTCACAACTTCTTCTTCCTTCAATGGCCTCTGAAAAGTCATAATCAGGCCCTGTTGTAACACCGATTATACTTCCTCATAGCAGATAAGAGATTGTGGAACAGCATTATACGGATCATATAAATAGTATTCTTAAATGTAAATTCCAAAAGTCTTAAACAACGACCGGTGCATGCATTTTATAGCTTTACTAGACAAACAGTTCTTCAATACTATTATGTCTTATCATTTAATAATAATGAAAGAGGTGAAGAACAGTGATTGATCTCAAAAAAGCTACAGATAATACAAATCTGTGAGCAGGACTTAAAAAACACAGACCCCCGAAAATTCCAAAGTTGGGATCAGCTGCCTAAGAGGAGAAAGCCTCCCCTGTTGACCGATCACATCCGCCGTGAGACCTATGTATTGATCAGGTGGACGGAACATTCCGTAGTCAAATTTAGTATAAAAACAAAGGCCTAACAATTGGTATGAAAAATGTCAGTCAAAATACGACCCAATGATAGGTTATATTTCTTGACAAGGTCATTCTAACGACCATGGAATTAACGAAATGCTCGCTTTAAACGAGATTATCGAAATACCTGTAACATCAATTTATCTGTCAGTAGCCTGCTTCAATTAAAAAATTTATCGTACTCAGAGCATGCTCTCGAGTATAGAATACGTTGGGAGATGTAAACACCAAATGCAGGTGATAGCGGAATGTTACTACATGTACATATAAAAGGAACGCTGAAGATGGAAAAGCTGAGGTAATCTCGTTTGTCATACAATTTTGTTGTTAGTTGGCCCTGATCGTTTATAGTCGGTAAAACTTCCAAAAATGAAACAGATGTGAGTGTGGTGTTTTTAATTTAAAGTTAACTGGTATATATATCAAGTCAACACATGAAGGAAAGTAAGTTTTGTTAATTGATATAACGTTGTCGATATATCTGAATATATATTTGAGTATCGTGAAGTCACAGTGGACACGATTTTACAGTGACGTCACTAATGACATGTTTAAACAATTCAACCTAAAACGACGAGGTTTGATAATGCAAAGCAAAAAAAAAAAAGAGTTTAAGATGATAATTGGCACGTTTTACATGTGTTTGTGTATATTTTGTGGAATTTGAATATGTGTCTAACCAGTATTTATAAGTGTATACAACACTTGATGCTTAAAATTCATACCTGCAAACTTACCTTATCCTTTGGAGGCGTTCCCTTGAGTTTGGTTGAATAGTTTGGGGGGAATCCGTACGTATCGTACTGAGGGAAATTGGTAGCGGCATGAGCAACACTACTGGTAAAAATAACGGAAGTGAAGGCGAGCACAACCTGGTCGGCTGAACTGAACTTCCCGTCTTTGAGAGGAACACCCTAATGGTAATAAAAATGGTTGTCACTTTTGATAGGATACAATGGGTGTGAATAATAATAAAAAAAATTAACATGATTATTGATATAATTTAAATTGTTTATTATAATTTATTATTATTTAATTATTATATTTATAAATATTATTTTTCCTCTGGCACACGAATAGAGATATATTCAGAAGGTTGAAATCTTGTTTGTACTGGGGAATCCTGATTCTATTTAACCTAAAATTTAATATTATGGATTTTGCAAATACTCCCATAACCATGAATTAACAATCTTAATTAGCAAGTATACTCATCCCATATTGCATTTCGCCCCTGAGAGAATATCAACATCAGCACCCTATTTTGTAATCCACGTAAACGAAGTAAATAAATCAAAATGATTCCACAGCACTGGGAAAGAACTCAATGTTTGTAACTTGAGTCCAATCCCCTTGATAAAATGGTCAATAAATCTTTCAGTAAAAAATCTTAAAGAAAAGAAATTCATATAGTATACCGAAATTCCGCAACCCCCTTCAGACTTTGGGATTGATAATTCTCGTCCAAACTTTTGAATTTCATCGTCCTCAATAATTTTATCACTAGTGTCTGTGTCAGTAAAGAAAAATTTTAAATAATTACAAAATAATTTTTTCAGTTGATTTCCAAGATGTTTTGATTTATTTCATTGAATAAAAATCAATAAATCAGAGACAACTAGATACCCACCGTAATATAGAGTGACGTATTTGCTGACGTAGCTGTAAATGGCTTCATACAGATCTAGACTATCGTCACGCAGGTAAAATGTTGGCAGCATTTTTCCATCCTTGCAATAAAC